TTGTGCCGGGGGCGACGCACCGTCGCGCCGCCCGGAGCGAGCTGCGTGGAGTGAGGAGGAAGGCAAGGGCCCAGCACCCTGTGCGGGGGTTTTAGGGGCTCGTCCTGCCAGAGGGAATAGGAGTCTTCTGCACGCATCACTGAAAGAGGTCATGGGAGCTGGAGGCTCTCCTGCATGCGCTTCCCATAACCAGGGGAAATTGTTCTCTGCTTGGAAAGGTTATTACTGGCGTGCTGCCCAGGCTGGCTGGAAACGGAATCCCCTCCTAACGCATGTCGTAAGTGCGACAGGAGAGAAAAATACTGCCAAACCAGCGCTACCGAAGGAGTGGTCCACACGATTTGGTTTGGGAAGAGGCCGTAACGAAATGGTAGTGAGCCTGGAAGTGCTTCAGGACACTTGTACAATGTGAACATTGGCTTTTTGCAGGGAGTAGGGAAGGATGTATGGAGAATAAGGAGTGATGTGCAATATATGAGAGGCTTTCGACATGAGAATTTAATTGCGTTGCAGTGCATAGATTTGGGTTTTGAATACTGTGGGTTATACTTAATAGCTTCCTAACCATTGTAAAGAGCTTATCTTTTAAGGAGCAGATGTTATGCTATTCTGTAAACACATCTCTACAGAAATTCCATGTACTTTGAGTATTATGTTAGATTATGCTGTTAATGTTTTTATGTAAACATTCTTTTTGTTGCAGTAACACCTTTTGCAGAAAACAGATTTAACCAACCAGAGTTCTTTCACCATATGATCATCTCCAGTTCTCTTTACTGCTGAATTGCTATTGCGAGTCCACCTTAATTCTAGATTTTCTATTTGTATCAAAGGCAGTATCGCATAGTGAAACCTACATCTCTGGAACAAGAAGAGTCTTGATGTTTCAGCATCTGCTTTTGATGATACAGAACACTGGAGACCTGATGATACTGCTATATTTATTGAGCAGCAATCTCAAAGAGCAAAACCAAGGGAAATAATGCAAATGTTAATGATACATTGAATTTGAGATTTTAATTACTTAAAGGTCAGCACATTCAAAGTTTATTAATTTAAGGGAGTCACTCTGTATTCCCACATCTCTACACTGCTTTTATATATATCCAGGAGTTCAAGTTACTGTTTATTTGCTGATGCGTGCAAAGCATTCAAGTTATACCCAAATGTTATTGGGTTTTTTTTTTTGCCATTACAATCTCAGTATTTTAACAATTTGTCAGCAATTTTGCATATAGTATTTTCTGTGTTCCCATACATTGCAGTAGCACTAAAAACTTTGTTTTTCTCTAATGTTTATTCTAAATAATCAAAGGATACATTTTCTTTCAGCCTTAGAATCTCTATTTAGTTAGCAGAATTTGTTGCTAAACTATCACAACAGACATTTTGCAAGCTAACATTTCACAGCTCTCCACAGAGCTTGGAGAGCACATATTACATGCGTCATGCAAACCCACTGGCTTTGTCGTAGTAAATTAAACAGTGCCAGGGCATGGTCTCAAGCACTAGGACACAATCAATCCCTCTGTTGATGGTCTCTGGCCTTGTTTTGGCCTATGTCAACAAAATGCTTTTCCAGAAAGTGCCCAGGTACAGTCTAGGGCTATGGCATGGGCCAAGGGCTCTTCCCCAGAGGCAGTATGGAATGAGGCTACCCTGTTGATGGGGAAGACAGTTTAGCCATATGGATGCAAAACACATCAGGACATTTATTCTCAGGGCCAGAGAACAGGCAAAGGGCCTTTGCTAGTACAGGCGTAGTCTTTTTACCTATATACAAGCTTGACAGCATTGGTTCTGGGGTGAGAACAGCTGCTGTTGATCTCAAGGACACGCTTAGTAGAGTTAAGGTGGATTTAATGAAACAGCTCTTGAATAAGGTACAACACTTTGTTTGATTGGTCACATGGATAATTTGGGATTTAAACTTTTTTTTGCCCTCTTGCTAGACAATCAGTCCTACTGTGTTAACACAGACAAGGATATTCATTTTGAATCAGAAATCCTTCATATAATCTTCAAAGTGAGGCTGAATACTGGGTGTGATTTTGGGCATCTTGAAATAGAGCTAGGAGGCTAGATTTGCTGGCAGCTTTTCAAAAGGGAAGGAAAACAAAGGTGATTTTGCCATCCTTATTTTTTAACTCCTCTTTCCTGAACCTCATCTATTCTGAAAAAAGACTGCTTTGTCCACGCAACCAAGACATTAGTTTATGCTAAACTCATGTAATAGCATAGATATGTAACAGCATAGATAATTTGTAACTAGGTGAACCTATGTATTCTTGCAAAACAGTTACTAAAGACAGATGTTAGTACAAAGTTCTTTCCTTATGGAATCACAGTTAGATCTGTTTTTTATGCCCAAATACTATGCTTATGTGCTCTTTTTCGTGTCTGATAGGTATTTATCTGCAGTCTGCTCCATGATAGTTTAGTAAGAGCAGGGCTTCCAGGTGTCCATTTGGAGATGTTCTTGGAGGCAGTGACTTTAAGGTAAAATCCTAGGCATAGTGAAACCATGGGCATTTTGCTAAAATCAGCATTTTATGATCCTGACTATAGGAGTAGATGTAGTATAGCAGAGTTAAAGAAAATACCTACTGTTTTTCCTCATCCACCCTTCCTGGAAAGGTGCCTTTAAGGTACAAGATCAATCTGCATTTATTCTAATAATACCACTGCTCTTCCTCCAATAAAAGGGAAAAAATTGACAAAAAATCCATTGTGAAGAAAGTGGAAGTACTCAAAAACTACTATTAAAGGGAAGCTACACATTCCTGAAGTTGATTGTGATTAAAATGCATTCTTTTTTTCATAAAGGTGGAATGCAGTGCAGCCAAAGAAAATTTGTTTCAGATATTGTTGTTTAAGAGAGCGTTCTCAAATCACAGCTCTCCAGATTGGATGGAAAGAAATAAAGAGGTCACTGTTAGGCTGAGAGAGAGAAGCTGGAAGGAAATTAAGCAAAACAATGAAAACCTATTCAAACAAAATTAATCTCATTTAACTGTCCAGCTCATTCACTGGCAAAGAACCTTATTTTCTACAGACAAAAGCAGTGATTTTTAGATGAGCATTTTGAGAAAGAAAAATCCTTCAAGAGGCTACAAGTGGGGTTTGTGCATAAAGTTTTGAAACGACAGTGTTCTCATCCCTCCTGGCAGGCCTTCTTTTTTTCTGAGAATCATTTGTCAAGCCTTTCCAAACACATTTTCCTGTTTTGAGAACAAATTGCAGGTGACTTAGTACTTGAAAGCCACGACTGGATAAAATGTTTTCAGAAAAGTTTTTTCATGAAGTCCTGGTAGACAACAAGTTGACCATGAGTCAGTAATGTGCCCTTGTGGCCAAGAAGGCCAATGGTCTCCTGGGGTGCATTAGGCAGAGTGTTACCAGCAGGTCGAGGGAGGTGATCCTCCCCCCTCTCCTCAGCCCTGGTGAGGCCTCACCTGGAGTACTGTGTCCAGTGCTGGGCTCCCCAGGACAAGAGAGACATGGCACTCCTGGAGAGAGTCCGGCAGAGGGCTATGGAGATGATTAGGGGACTGGAGCATCTATCCTGTGAGGAAAGGCTGAGAGCTGGGCCTGTTCAGCCTGGAGAAGAGAAGACTGAGGAGGGATCTGTCAGTGTGCAAAAGTATCTGAAGGGAGGGTGTCAAGAGGATGGGGCCAGACTCTTCTCTGTGGTGCTCAGCGACAGGACAAGAGGCAACGGGCACAAACTGAACCACAGGAAGTTCCATCTGAACCTGAGGAAAGAATTCTTCACTGTGAGGGTGACAGAGCATTGGAACAGTTTGCCCATCCTTGGAGATATTCAAAAGTCATCTGGACATGGTCCTGGGCAACGTGCTCTAGGTGACCCTGCAGGGGGGTTGGACTAGATGATCTCCAGAGGTCTCTTCCAACCCCAACCATTCTGTGATTCTGTTTTGAAATACCCTTGTCCTTTAAACACTGAAGAACTGGTAACAAAGTCCAAAGGTCTTAAAAGAACAGTATGCTTCAGAAAGAGAGCGGGTGAGCCCAGCAGCACCACCAATGCTTCCTGGAAGTGGAGTACCAGAGAATTCACGGGGGTGTTACCTGGGTCTCGGCAACGGTGCGGGGGCAGGAGTGCCACAGAAGAAGTGGGTGCTGCATGGCACAGGCCCAGAAAAAAGGGCTGAACGGCACGGGTCTGAAGAGGTCACAGGCTTTCCCCATCAGTTCTCTGTCAGACCGCCAAAGCTTTGCCTCCCTGCCCCAGCAAGGCGGTTCCCAGGGCCTGCTGCCACAGCTCTCCCCGAGCGGGGGCTGCCTCCCAGGGCGGGAGGCT